ATTGGAAAGTCGTGAGACTTTAGGAGGTGCGGCCTAGCAGGAGGAAGTTAGGTCGCTGGGAGTGTGGCCTTGAATGAAATATTGGGACCCACTCCTTGGTCTCTGTCTCCCAGCTGCCAGGAGGTGAGCTGCCTTGCTCTGTCACAGGCCTGCACGCCACAGGGCCACCCACCGTGCACTGAAGCGGCACACATCATCAGCTAACATAAACCCCTCCTTCTGAGAAGCTGACTGCTGCAGTCATATCAGATGTGTTCCCAAGGCTCTTGTGCTGGGGGCTGGGCCCTGTGCGGCAGCATTCACTGCAGATGGGCCTTGGGAGGTGACTGGATCATGACAACATCATCCTAACTCTTCCTCTCTGGCTCCTTTCCCATACCCTCTGCCATGGTGTTTCTATTTCACCACAGGCCTAAAAGCAATGGTGCCCACGGACCATGGACTGAACCCTCAGACACTGGGAGCTATACTGCTTTAAACTGTCTGAACTGTGGCTTGCACAGTGACTTCCCTCCAGAGTAAGCATGGAAAGAGGGAAGAAGGGTCACTCAGCACGGCATGGTGGCACATGCCTGTAATCCCAGCACTCAGGAGACTAAAGTGTAAGGATTGTTCTGAGTCCAAGGCCAGGCTGGGTTACAAAGTGAGTTCAAGGCCAGCCTGAATTGAACTGCATAGTGAAATCCTGTCTCAAAAAGACCCCCCCAAAATTAAATAAATAAAAAGAGGGGTCACTTTACAGTGGGGACACTTGACATCCACGCCACAGCTAGGTGATCAAGGTCAGCATCAACAGCATCCACCATTTTGACATCACAAGTCCTGCTAAGAGGCCGGGCATGGTGGCAAACGCCTATAATCCCAGCACTCGGGAGGCTGAGGTAGGAAGATCGTTGCGAGTTCAAGACCAGCCTGGGCTACAAAGTGAGCTCAAGGCCAGCCTGAACTGCATAGCGAGACCCTGTCTCAAAAACACCAAACAAAAAAAAAAAAAAATCCTGCTAAGATTGGCAGTACTTTCTCTCTGCTGTCTCCCTCAGCAGAGGCCCACTTAATCATGACAGAAAGAACAAAGTCCCCAGGAGATGGGCAGTCTATAACGGAGCAGCTCACCTCAAAATTGTCTGGCTCAGCGGGCATGGTGGCACACGCCTGTTATCCCAGCACTCAGGAGGCTGAGGCAGGAGGATCTCCATGAGTTCAAGGTCAGCCTGGACTCCATAGTGAGCTCAAAGCCAGCCTGAACTACATAGCAAGACCCTGCCTCCAACAACAACCACAACAAAGAAACAAAGAATGGCTGAGTAGCTGTCACAGTTAGAGAAGCCTATGGAGACACGACGGCTACTGGGATGCTGGGACAGGAGATGGACGCTGGAGAAAGGCTACGGCAAGCTGAATCAGCTGCAGACAGCACCTAACAGCCATGGCCTGGTACTGCTTCGTGAAGTGCAAGCGATGTGCCGTACCAGTGCAAGAGGCCACAGCAGGGAGCAGACAGGCTGTGCGGCATTCTCAGTTGTCTGCATTTTTCTGCATATGGAAAAGTAGTCTAATAGAAAAAGTTTATATAAAATGTCAACAACAAAGCCAAACACCTCTCAGAGGGCCTGTGCGAACGGGCATGGCCCTTCAGTAGGCCTCAGGCCTCTTCGTTGTACCCCCAGCCCCACGACCCATGACCGCAGCCCTATCCGCTCCCTCCCTAGAGGGGCTGGGAGCACAAAGCCCTGCCAGGTGGACCCAGCCTCCCCTTTGTTCCCGGCTCATTCTAATTCCAAAGCTCATTGTGCCCGATGCCCCTGTCTCCAGAGGGGCGGCTCTGCCCTCTCTCCAGCTGGCCAGGTCCTCTGGATAAGGAGACACTGCCCCGCCCACTCCTCACAGGCTCGCTGCTTCCCAAGACTCCCCAGGCCTCCCCACCTCCTCCTGGCTCTCCGCCCCACCCCAACGCCCCAGTGCCAGCCCCAGCTGGGGTCTGAACAGGCCCTGCCGCTTGGGGACGCTCCTGGGAAGGACGTCGGGGGGTGGGGGGTGGGAGCACAACACCTGGGCCTGGCAGGACAGGTAAGGACCGACAGCCTCCGGCCATCAGGTCCGATGGGGAGGGCACCTGCTGCCCCCCACAGCAGCAATGACCCCTGGGCAGAGGCAAGACACTCCTGTGCCAAGCCCTGGAAATGCAGCCTGTCTCGGTGTACTGCTGCCCTAGACCTCCGGGGCCGGAGCGCACAGCTTGGCCAGCCCTGCTTGGAGGCGGAGGAACCAGAGCGGGGAGTCCTGCAAAGCGGGCAGCCCCTCATCACACCCCCTCAGGAGGACTCTGTAGTTCACTTTCTGGCAGAGCTTGAGGAAGAAGCCAAAGGGAGGGACTGCACAAGCCGGGGTCTCCCAAGGGTGCCCGGGGCTGCCAAGGGCCCCCAGGCCCTCCACAGAGGGGCAAGCAGGGAACTTTGGCATGGGAAGCTCAGAGGGGCCCTGGGTGTGCCTTGGGGTGCTGGGGACCTATAAAGTGGTGTCATTGCTAGACAAGGGCAGGTGTGGGAGCCCTAGGAGTCCTAGAGGTCAGCTAGGCCAGTCTCAGCAGCCTCCAGCCAGGCCACCTCCCTGTCTGTCAGCGGCCTCTCCCCAGGTGGTGGCTTCCTCATGTTCCTGCACTGACCTTGGCACAGGCCACCCCACCCAGCGGCCCCCACCCTTGGCTCCTAGCCCTGCTCTTGTCACCATAGCAGCGTCACCACTGGTGCACCCATATCCTTCTCAAGTCATTTAGGGTCCTGTCCCTCCTACGCTACTCCGTGATGTGCCAGCTCTTCAAAGCTCCTCCCTCCCCCACTGGATTCTGGCGCTAGGTGGCCTCTGCCCTCATCCGGGGCACTGCTGCATCTCAGCCCCACCCTGTCCTCGAACTGTGCACACCGTGGGATTCTCTTCTATCCTGTCTGAAGTGCCCTCTGTCCTTGCTCCCTGGGCGGCCCCAGCTCTTCCAGGCTTCGTGGGTCACTCCCCTGAGAATTCTGTGCCCACACCTGCCTTGGTGCTAGACTGGGCCAGAGAAGACCCAGGTGAGAGGCTTCCGTCGAGCCCTGTAGCCCTGTCTGCATGGCACAGCGGACCTCCTGACATCCCTAGAGGCCCCGGAGGTGGCGGGTCAGGAGCCCCTCCTTTGCCTCACAGGCACAATCTGGCTGGGGCTGGAGCAGCTTTGCCTCCCAAAGCTGCCCGAAGGCTTATTTTAACGGGATGAGCCATCTGGGACCTGCTGTGCCCGCCTCAGATCAGGGAGCCCAGGGTTGAGCTAGGTGCGCTTTAGTCGCTTTAGTCGCTTTACTTGATTCCCGGACAATGAGCCCTTCCTTGGCAGGCAGCCTGGGGTCCCTGCGGCAGGCAGCGCCTGGCTTGGGGCGCTGGGTCCTTGAGCAAACCTGCCTAGCAGCAGGGGGCAGCCTTACCCTATCCCTGCCTGCTCTCCCCTGCAGCAGACAAGAACGGGGTGCAAGGGTCACCACATAGTCCCCTGGTCTGGTTGGGTGGCAAAACGTGGCCTCCCTCCTCAGCCAGGCAGGCTCCCCTTACTTGGGAGACTTGCAGAATTTGTCACTCCAAGAGCCCAGCCCCTGGTCTCCAGCTGAACATCTGGCTAAACCTCAGTGCACACCAGGAGGTGGATCCCCACCGCCTGCTGCTGGGAGGAGGCCACAGCAGCCTACATCCCCTTTGGTGTTGGGAGCTGGGGATCCTTAGACCTGGGAACCCAACACTCGCCCAGCTCCAGCCAAGGGTCCAAGCAGGGCTAAAGAGCGGACCCGCTGGAGGGACCTTGGGGAAGGAAGGGACGCTGAGAGGGAGGAGTCCAGACTGGAAGGAGGAAAGGGGAGAGGCCCGACCTAGATGGAGGAGAGCGCGGGTGGTGGGTTTCCTAGAGCTGGGAAGAGCAGGTCACTGAGGAGGAGGCGGCCAGGTGTCCGGGCGAGGGGCGCTCCGCCGGCACCGGGCACTCGCTGGCCCAGCCCCAGGTAGCGCTCCCCGCTGGAGCGCCGTCTCCTCGGGAGGAGGGCGGGAGGCGGTGGGCGGAGTAACGGGGAGGGCGAGAGGGCTGGGGGGAGGGGAGCGGCCCGGTCGTGGGGGTGGGGCGACAGTGACATCACCCGGAGCCGGTTCTTAAGCAGCAGCCGGTCGCGCCGGGGAGGAGAGGGACAGCCGGAGTGCGGTGCAAGTCGCTGAGCCCGCCGCGGCCCCGAGAGCGGCTGGAGCCGCCGCCGCCGGGAAGGAGGGGGCGAGGCGCGCCCG